GATGCGATTATCTCGGGGGACTCGAGAACGACGAAAGAATGAGAGAAAGGAGAAACTAACAAAGCGGAAGGCTAAACAGAGAAACTATGGATAAACTTGCTGTTCATTGGGCTGATTGATTTTACAAACCTGTTCGAAATCGTGGATTCGCGCTGTCTCTTGTGCAAGCTAGTTTCAGAAGGATTTGGTGGCGCGGTCGTTGCCTTGAGTCTCCAATTGTACAAATTCCTCTCATCGCCCCCAGAGGTCGCCTTCTTTGGCGTCTTACCCATAATGTTAGCGTACGTTTACGTCCTGCCTATTTAATTCGTTTTGATCGCTTTTCCACGCCCTTTTCCCGCAGGCCTACCCTCGCCCACGTAAACGCAACAAACCCCCCACTGTTCAGTCACGGAAGATCGAGTTTGATTGTTTAATACCTTGCTAATCTACCTATATACCTGCAGATATATGTATATGTATATATACTTCGATCGCTTCTTTCCGTCTCTTTATTTCTCTGTCTGTCGTGTCTTTCTTTTATTTTCTTTTTCTTTTTCTTCCTCCCGGTCACTTACACAACATCAGCACGTACCCGAGCGTGAAATGTTATTCGGAGAACATGAACGACACGGCGATACGATTGACACGAGACGCCATGTAATAATACCGCTTGATTTCCGCGATCGTGTAAACGCACGCGCCAAGATCACGTTGGAATAGCCACTCCGTCACCCATACGAATTTATCGTAACTTTCCGTACCGTTATCCCTCCCGGGCTTTGTAATTGGATCGAGATTTTTACGTAACCGATCCAACGGGGTTACACCTTCCCAGAAAAATATATACTACGCTAACTGTACACACAGGCACACGATCGCTGCCGGTATTTTATTCTTCCAATACTAGCGGTAAATTCCGTTGACAAATAACGCAGATCAACACGGAGTGTCGCGTGGCGCTGCCGTCGTTGCCGCGTATGAGAAGCCTAGGCAAAACTATGTTCCATAAAATATCGCATATTATGCATACTTGTATTGGTCTGTTCATTTTAACCTATAAGTTACGATTAATATAATATAATATGTTCGATAATATAATATAATCGAAAAATCGAAACTTAAAAGTCATCATGAAATATACTATATTTCGCTTTATGGATATTTTGTATTCTCTTCTCTGTTTCGCGCGTTCCACAAATGTTCGCGTTCTTTAAATTTTTCACAAATGCACACAAATATCCTTCGTACGTGATCGATAAACGGATCGAAAGATTTCATTAATTTATTATATTTTCAATTGTAACTTCAACGATCTTTAAAAGATGTGTTTCTTTGAATCTTGATATTAGAAAGAATCATAATGAAACCTAAATAATATCAATCGAATTTAAATCATCGTTCGCAGTTTTCATGTAGCTGTTCTGTAACTAAAAATCGCATGGCAATACTGATTCATACCGATATAAATCCCTAGACGCAGCTTGAAGAAATATTTGAATTTTGACTATTAACTGAACTGCTTCAACGACTAATTTCAAGATATCAAAGATCATGCGACGATGATTCCGGTAGATTTTACAGATTACGCGTTGTAGTTTTCGGAAAATATAACGTAGAGACTAATATTTAAACTATTGCTGTGCCCATATGAAATATACAAAATGAATGTGATACCGTGTTGGATATTAATTAGTGTACTAGAATTAGTATCAGCAGAATGGAATACAAAAGACTATATGAAACGAGAACATTCTTTGATCAGACCATATCAAGGTTTGTGAATTTTTATACTTCGAGTTTCTGGTGCGATGCGACATGACATGTATTTTTGTATTTTTAATTAGATGTTATTTAATTAGATATCATTACGTTATATAACGTTAAATGTAAATGTAAATGTACAGTAAAATGAAAAAGTTATATTAATAAGAAAAGTAATAACAGAGACAAAGTGTAAATCTGATTTGTAGATGAGAATTAATACATATGAATGTTTTACATATTTAGGATCTGGAATGACAATACCCTACTGGGATTTTACGGGTAGTACAATGGTGACAAATAACTATATAAGATTAACTCCAGACTTACAGAGTAAACAGGGTGCCATATGGAACTCAGTCGTAAGTTTCAAGATATTTAGCAATTTAATGAAATAAAATTGTTGAGAATTGTGTTTCAACTCGTCTTACGTAAAAGATTTTATTTAGTTAAAATTGTCTAGATAATGCAACTGCAGCCTAATTGAACTGCTACCCTGATATTTGTTTATTTAGCCATGTCATGTAAGAAATTGGGAGCTCCAAGTTCATTTTAAAGTTCATGGAAAAGGAAAAGATTTGTTCGGCGATGGTTTTGTTATTTGGTATGCAAGAGAAAGAATGAAAACAGGTCCTGTCTTTGGAAATCAAGATTATTTCCAAGGATTAGCCATAATTTTAGATACATATAGTAATCACAATGGTCCACATAATGTATGTATACAAAATAATTTTAGTTGCATTATAAATTAAAAGTTAAAGTAGTGATATAATTATTTTGGATTTTACAGCACCAGCATCCTTACATTTCTGCCATGGTCAATAATGGTTCTTTGCATTATGATCACGATCGTGATGGAACGCATACACAAATTGCAGGTTGTGAAGCAAACTTTAGAAATTTAGAATATGATACGCATATTGGTGTGAGATATGAAAGAGATACATTGACTGGTAAGTACATATGAAAACAAAATATTTTTAGGCATGACAAAAAATGTTGTCATATAACTGTGTATAGTATCCCATTACATATTATGTAAAAGAGTATTTCAATATTGCATTCTATCGATAAATGAACCTTTTCATTCATTTGTACTCAACTAATATCCTTAATGTTAGTAATGACTTCATATTGGCTTAATATTGATTGTCTTCAGAGAGAGAAAGGGAGAGAGAGGGAGTGAGAGAGAATTGCAATCGTATAATCAAAAATATTCATGTTGGTCTTTTCTTGAAATAGATGTTTATAGCTATGCTTTCTATGTATTCTATCATTTTATGTGGTATTCTACAAATTGACATTACAGTAAGGTCTTACCCTGAAGCCTCGTGGCTTACATCATGGAGTGCCTCTATTTCAGCAAGTGATATTTTCTTCATCTTTTCATACATTATACATATATCATCTTTTTATTTTACTTCATTTCACTTATCGTTGAAAATATTATTACAAGTAAATAATTAGAACCCGTAATACTTATATTTAAACAACAATTAACAAATCTGCATGAAGTTTTATGAAATAAATGTATGAAAATAATTGCTTTTATATTAAATGTATGATTTTTATTCCTTACTATAATAAGCATGAAATAAATCAGCTTAATGTACATAAAATAATTATAAAATACAATATCTATATAGATATTTTTGCGAAGAATTTACTAACATCTCTTTTTATTATAGTTTCCACAGATTTTTCAAACAAAGCTGCGTGGAAGGAATGCTTTTCTGTAAAAGACATAAAGCTGCCTACAGGATATTTTATTGGAATTTCGGCAACAACAGGAGATTTATCTGATAATCATGATATACTATCTATTCGTTTATTTGAATTAGATTTACCAGATGATGTGAGTAGTATTCTTTAAGTACTTCAGACGATTCTTAAATATTATATTACATCATTATTTATAAAAATACATTATATTTCAATTCCAGCCAAGAGATCAAGAAGATAGATCGAATATTTTGCCATCGGCTGCATATTTTGATGCACCTCGAGGTATGTAATAAATGTTAGGAAAAATGTATTTGATAAAATCAATTCTTGTAATCGTTTTAATCTTATAATTTTTTTTTTACAGAACATGTAGATGACCCAAAACAATCTGCATTTAGTAGAATAATATTTTTCTTTTTAATGCTTATAGCAGCGCTTGCATTAATCGCCTGTGTGGTAATAGGTATTATGTGGTATCAGAAACATCAAGAAAATAGCAGGAAACGATTTTATTAAATTATGGTGCTTTATGAATTACTCCATTTTTAAATCTTTCGTTTCTATTGAATATTCTTTCTTTGAAAAATAAGGTGTAGTCATAACGTGTTCATAAGACTGTTTCCCTTAATGTTAGAGTAACAAATATCCATTCACGATATCTTGGATTTTGAGAACGTTGTTCACGAGATATTTTGACGAAAATATGTCAAGAAAGGATGAAACTGTCGTAATAATGTATAAATAATTGCAGCAATCATAAGACGTGTCCAATTACGCCATTCACTATTCTAGTTCGAATAATGTTTGTCATGAATAATACAAAGTTCCTTTACCAAAGTTTTTATAATCTTAAGTTGCTGCAAAAAATTTCTTTTAGAAATAAGTTCAATAATTCGTGTAAAAATTAAACATACCAATATTATTCCTTAAGTGAATTTTAGTTTAAAAAAATGCGATAATAACTGCAATAAATTTAAGAGATAAAATAAAATAAGTTTTTTGAAGCAACATTGTAATTCATATTGTTAACGTAAAATATCGTATGTTACATTACTGATAGAAAAACGAACTCTAAAAGTAATCATCGATTTCTACAAGAGCATTTTTTCTCGCTTTGACTTATCATTACGTCTGTGAATTCGATATAATAGAAATAATTTTACTGATATAGATTTTATATTTATATATAAAGAACATTATCAATGTGGAATAGTTATAGTGATTTCGTGCTGTCGATTTTATACAAAAGATAAAGGGAACCAAAATCTTGAAATAAACAATTGTTAAGAAACATAATGTTATTATTTGTGAAAATAATGTACATCACTCGTTGCCAAATACAAAAATTAAATACAAAAACTAAATCGTGTAAAAAATATTTACCTTATAAAAAACAAAATTGTAAGTAAAAACGAATATTTTCTATTAAAATGTATTTCCTATAATAAGATTATAAGCAATTGAAGCAAAGCATTTAATGACAGTATTTTTGCTTCTTAAAATATATTTTATTATAAATAATAGTATTTATTTGAACAGAAAACATCAAGGCACATCTATATTTGTCTTTTGTTTCTGCTATAATCTTTTACTATTGTCCTGATATGATATATAGGATAACTGCCATTTCTTTTAGACAGTTATAAGATTCTTTAATTGTTTTAAAATCTAAACACAACATCAATTTAACAACAATCTTTAACTCCTACACGTCATACATCTTTACTACTTCTGTATATATCTTTACTACTTCTTCAAGTACATATAATATTCACATAGCATTTACACGAGGAAAGATATTTCAATTAAATTAATTTCGAAATATCGCCGGGCTTCATAAATTTATGTGAAGATATTAAGTCCTAAGAAATGAAAGATCAATATAGATACACGCATCACATCATTGTTGTACTACATAAATCGTTCTTGAACATTGACAGAATTCGTGATGTGGATGCGAATGATGTGTTTTTCATTAAAAATTTAGCATTTCAAAAACAGTTGTAATATTTTACTATTAAGTTAAAATAAAATCGAAAAGATTCCACCTCTTTCGATTTTCCGAAAACGGAATAGAAAAATATTAAGCGCATTTATTTCTATTACTGGCAGTAATACTTACGAAAATATATCGATCTTAAAATATACGTGTATAAGTGTACTCTCTGACGTAGATACTTGATAGATTTTTAATGAAATTCTAATGCCTGAGGTGTTGGTAACATCAAAATGTTTTTCCTTTCATAGATAATAGTTAAAAGTAGTTAAAAAATATACTCTTAAAAATCTAATGTAACATTTAAACAATAATTTCGAATTTAATCATTAAAAAAATAAATAACCCGAATATTCTTTCTATATAATTAACTCATTTTTTTTTCTTTTTTTTTTAGAGAAAAATACTGACATTTAATATTTACAACGCTATAAATGTTTTCTTTCTGCATTTTCAATTTTGTTTTTCTGCTGCGTTCGTTTCCTTTCTTTACAAAGTCTTTCAATTAATACGTGTTAATAATACTTTGAAAGGAAATCCAGGATACTATCTCTTGGTAAATAATTTTATCTTAATATTCGAAAGAACGCTTGATGCTGTACATTTCATACATTGTATAATCGCACAAAGTGCGACTATTTAAACATTACGATAGGATTCAACAAAAAGTTCAGAATTATTTTTACACTTAAACAAAGATCACTTAAAATCGAACTAATTGTTATATGATATTTATAACGTTTATAAGATTTTAAGTTAATAGAGTGACATGCGAGACAACCAATTTCTTCTAATTCAATATGAGGCTCAGATCCACCGAGTAACGATTCATTCTCTAAACCATTGTTCAGAAATGTACCAGAAAACCAAATTTTATCGCCTGGATATATATTTAAACTGAAATTGATAAAAGAGTGATCCGCAATCAATAAAATCTCTGCATTGTTCCCCCACATACCACTCTTCATTTTAACTGTAATCTCAAATTCGTACTTGTTCCAAGCGGGAAAGTGACATTTGTTTCGTCTTTGAACGTTCGCGAAAAGCTTGCACTTTTCTTGCCTTAACTCGCCGCTTGAGCCGCAACTGTTAATATACGGTTCTCCATACATACAACTGACTACATTTCTAATACTATCAGGTAGTTTATCAAATATTGCCGCAATATTATTTTTTATTGATTTTAATCTAACATTTGTTACGTAACCTTCCCATGAAATTAATATTCCTTCCAAATTGGCACATTGAATTTGCACCTGTGCCTTGGATGACAGCTCTTCCCATGCAGGCTGATGACAATGATTTTGATATTGTTCCCATGAAAGTGAGGAAACACCTTCGTACGTATCAGGTTCTTGTTTGTACTCCATTATTACTGACCATGATAAAAACATGCCAGCACCGATACCCATGACCAACTAAAAATTCATACAACAATTAAAATGTAACATATGTTGGTTATTGTAATATAATATTCTTTCACTCAATGTCAATATGTTTACCTGTACAACGGTAATTATCCAATTAAGCTTAGGCGTTCGAGTTTTCCTTAAATACCAAGAGGCAAGAAATGGCATTCCTCCCAGTAAAGTAGTTACAGCTATTCTCATTGCTAAATCGCTTTCGGACAAATATTTAGCAGCGGCTACGATTGGCAAAATAATAGAAGCCAATCCAGCAAGTGGTAAAAAGAGGACCATACCAACTAATGCGAGAGCACCCCTAATTAAGCCGTACCATGTTGCACCTTGAGAGCTAAAGATCGCTATTTGCCACCAACTTAAAGTAACACAATGCGGTATCAAAGTTTGATAGGTTCCTCGCCAATTATCCCGGGCAGCCATTTTTGCGAAAACTGCCGGGATTAAGAGGTAAAAAACCGCACGAAAGTTCAAACAGAATTCGATACCATTACCAACAACATACGAAGCAAACGTTGGGACTCTTATGTCTAAAAATCTCCAACCCTGGGCAACTACGATATCTGTTTCATATGGATACTTCGCCAAAACGTGGACACCGAAACTGAAGAGAGCTAAAAGATCCGGAAATTTAGACGAATCTTTCCATATAAAATTTAACAATGTTATCAGCGTTAACGCAACCGCTATAATAGTGAATTCTGACTGAGGTGTCCATTGATGAGCTATGACAGGATAAATCATTAGATTTAAGAGCAAAGCAAGGAAGAAATGACCATAAGGTTTGAGATTATTGCAGCAAAATTGGTACTCCGCTTCGTCGGGATTTAAATTTCCACCAGAATAACTGAGGAACAAGTCAGACCAAACACGAAAATTATTAAATTCGCGTTTTCGTTGTAACATTTGAAAAGTAGCGATAACCATAACAACGAAAGATAAATAATACAGAGCCATTGGTACGAAAAGTATGAGGCTTTCTGTACCAAATAATGAGTACAGTAAAAGAAGTAACAATATGTGTATATTCGATGTGAAGAGAATCTTCTTAATTGACATTCCCCTTTGACCTAACGTTTCAATCAACCAAATATATAAACGTTTCAAAGACGCAAGGGGATGAATGAGAGGCCTTTGTAGCAGCGGTATAGTATCTAATGCCATTTGAGATGGATCTATCATACACAATGCATGTGAAACTATTGGGAGCAAACCACGAGCATAGCTAGCAGCAGCAGAAACAAGAGCTGCTTCTGTTATTTTCTCTCCTTGATGATCCATCCAATCTAAAAAATGTAATTCTATAAACAAATAAATTTTAATAAAAATCAAATATAAGTACTATGTATTTCCTCACCATGGACATTATTTTCTTTATCCTCATCCTTTTTAGATGTACATTCATCGGAAAGCTCATTTTTAGGAAAGTTGTTAGTTGAGACATCATTTATATCTTTTTGTGAATTATTATGTACTATATTGTTCGAGCAAGAATAATTATCACTAGATGAATTTGATGCTATATCTTTCATACGTCTTTGTAGCTGCTCTGTTGTAATAAAATCCTCACCATTTGACAAACTGCATAATATAAAATGCATTATACACATGCATATAAATATTTATTTATTATTTTATTAATAAAATTCAATTTTTTATACCTGGTAAACATTTCCCTTGCTGCTCTCCTGGCTAATTTCTCATCTTGAGTCATGTCAAGACAAGTTTTGACATCATAATAGTTATGTTGTGTTATACCACAGCCAGTAACTAAACATTTTCTAAGTATATCTGTTGCTTCCAAATTTCCTTGCTCTGATGCTTTCGTAAGCCAATATACACCTAACTTTGCATTTTCTTCCTTGTCAACATCTAAATCTAAATGCATAAATTATATTAAAACACATTGCAGAATATTAATATTTTGATGTATTTAATAGTATATAAATAAGAATTTGTATCGTTACCGCATCTTTCTTCCAACAATTGTTTTGCTAAAACTACTTGAGATTCTGGGCAACCATCTTCAGCTAGCTGAGACCTTAATCTTCTAAGAGAACCTCTTGGTCCATCTAAAATTATACATTTGGACTATCATTTTATTATTCATTTAGTAAAACAAAATGCTTTTGGGTTTTATTCATTTGTTCATACACATGCTTTTATGAATTATTATTATTCCATTGAAATCGTACTATTAATTATTGTTTATTTTGATTTGATAACTGTCAAGTTTTGTTTTTAAAAAAGAGAATTAAAGCGTCTAATTGATATTTTTCTAAAAATTTTCAAAAGAATTCTTGATCGCTTGTCATAGTTACAAAAATATCATATCATTTTGTTCAAATCAGTCCATAGTGACGTTGAATTACAAAATAAATAGGAGCCATAAATTCCTACGGGAGATAGTAAGTGAAATTGTTGCGTTACCATGCAGTGTCCATTGTTTTCTTCCAGATCTACCAGATAATGGTACAATGCCAGCCATGGCTCCAAAAATTGAAAGAATCGTTATTAAGATATCTTCACTTTGCGTATCAACTATCGTACAAATGAATTATCCAATATCAAAAACTTCTTTCCCAATATACGTTCAAGATTTCTTGACAAAGCGACTGTTAAAAAATTAGCATTGAGGTATGATTCCATATTGCGCACGCGCATTTATTAAATAGGTTAGGCTGTTGAACAAACGTCAAGAATAAACTACAATTTTAAATTTTAAATTTTAAATCCACGAGGTAAATAACAGTTCAAACAAATATATGATAGAAATAAAAATAATGTTTATTTGACAGAAATAATGAAGGAGAGACGCATGAATTTTTGCAATTTTGTTTTGTAGACAGGGGAGGGATCATCGGGGTTAAATAAAATGACATTTAGTTTGAGAATTCACGTTGTATTAATTAATATTGCATCATAGCACCGTTATACTTAAAATGACTAGCATGAGAATTGGCTAAGATTTTAAAATTATTTTAATATTAAATAGAAACATTATATACCTAATAAATAAATATTAAATTCACATATTAATTTGTGCTGTAGTAATGAAATCCTTCTGTGCAACAGAAGATATGTTTCCACTATGTCATAATTTTGTGCAATTTAAAAAGAATATCTTCATTAAATCTATGCAGTCTTAAAACAATCTATGTAACACATGTTATCCATATCAAATTACAAAGCAATAGACAATACGGAGCCAGTTCCAATGATTTTGCGATTCTTCTTGTAGTTACGATTATAAATCGTTGTTAATTCAGCAAAACCACGTTTTTGCTGGCTCCTCGTGTAGTCAGAAATCTGTTCGAAGACCCACTCTGAGAAATTAACATAAATGTACACGTATGTATGATAAATAATGTCAGTAGAAATTCACTTGAAATATTCGATACTTACAAATTACTTGGTCCAGTGTAAGGCGGTGGATTTGGTCGAATGTATGGATTGCAACGTTCGTTGGAAATCCTAGAAATAAAATACAGGAATTAAGGCTAACGAAAGCGACAAAGGTGTTCTTCGTAGATACACAACATCTGGCCACGTAAAAAAGTATCACTCCAAGTTTTTATTTTTATTTTTCATGTTTTTACACCCAATATTAGTTGAAATTATTTCAAATATTATTCCTAGACTATATAAAATGAAGAATATATTTGCCCGGTGACTTTTACATGCCACTATGTATTTAATGTACTTAAATTAAGAAACAGTACCTGGGACTAGGTATCAGGGAATCATTGGGGCTGGTTGGTTGAGCAGAAAGCGATTTCAATGTACCCCTTTCAATGGCAGCATACTGGACCATTTGTATGTTGTTGTTGCTAACTCCATCCGCTGTCGAAGTTTCTCTCTTTTCGCTGCAAGACGAGACAAATGTTTCATTTGTCATTTAATTAATTTTCTGATACATGTCTCTTATATCGTCGTATCAAAGAAGCGTGCATTTAACAGACTCGATTTGGAATTGTTGAAGGCTACGATTTTACGTTCACGTTTCATCGAGCATTTGAAATTATTAGCGAGAATCGTAAAAGTTCCTTTACAATTTCACTGCGATTTTAATCAACGGCCAAATATTAGTACGACTTATTAAAGTTAGTTACTACGACTTAGTAATTGCTCAGCATTGACAACAAATTTTACAGCAAATTTATTAACACGGATCAACATCTTGAAATTGAGATATACCTGGTCTTATGTTTTTTATGAAGGAAAGATGTTAAACAATTCGTAGAAATACTGTTCTGATTCTGGATCATGTCTATAAAAAAAGAAAATATTAAATGTCCTATTTCTTTGTGTATAGCTTTGTATGTAGCATCAATTATAAATATACTCGTTACATTTATTGGAAGCAAGAATTACTTGAATACTGAATATTGAAAGAAGAAGACAAAATTGTTCGATGATCTGCGAAAATTGTGCAAAGATACAGCCAATTGGTTTAACATTTGTCTCGATAAACTTTGCGCCTTATAGTTACATTTCTTTTTGTGAATCACATCTACAGTGACGCGCATGTTCTATTCTTGTTTTCACATAACCCGCATTATATGTAGTCTAATGGCAATTACCTTAATTACGTGCATAGATCACGGCTCCCTTGAATACTAATATATATTTTGCAGTTAATCATTTCTGCAATTACGCGTCGTTTACGTATCAGTACAAATTACTTTGTTCCTTTCTTTCTTTTTTTTTTTTTTTTTTTTTCTTTAGCTCGATGTTTATTTTATTCCAGGCATAGAAAGTAAATTAGAAGAGCCTTCGTTTTTTTAATAGTACAATGTCACATTATTAACAGAGCATCTCATCCAGTCCAATACAAGCTCTGTTTCAACCATGTACAATAATTCAGTATAAAATCGACTGTTCGAAAAAGCGAACAAAATGGAACGAATCGTATATTACGATTTAGGATAAGAGGTAAAATCCTACAATAGCTCGTAAGTAGGCACGTACATTTCAATTTCCGCAATTTACGATTTCAATGGAATGTACTAGCATTACATTACATTTCTAAGAAAACAGATATGATTCAGGCTATATTAACGTCAATTCCGTGAACGTAATTACTTTTTTTTAACGGAACGATGAGGGTTCAATCGTAGACGAAGATCGCTCGATTGATGATAATTGCAGATTTTTATACATTTGTGGGTACTATGATAAAATATATAAAATATCTGAAATACAGTCAGAGCATTAAATATGTAATATGAAATATAATTGAACGAAGTTCAAAAAAAGGATTGACTTGATTTACGAAATTAATATCAGCAAATCAATTATCGGCGAGTCGAATTTATCTTTCGTTTCGCCATCGCATGGCCATTAGATACGTCGAAACTATAGTGCATAATGGCACGTAAAATATGTGAAATGTACATCGTCAAGCCTAAAATTCAGTTAAAGGTCATAGATAGAAAGCAATTGCAGCAAGAAGCGCGAATAATCGGTGACGCGATCGTCAGGGTCATTCGCTTATAAATAGACCCCGCTGGTTTGTGTCTTTATGGCGTTAGATTTTTGTCTATTAGCGCGTTCAATATCGAAACGTAAGCGTTGTCAACGCATTGCTAAACGAAGTGACACGCGACTAATTAACAGCAATCGAGCCCGATCGACGAAAGCTGATTTAACGAGCAATTCCGTTGCGTCACGAGTAGATGCTCGATGTCGTATAAGGAACAGTTTCCCTCTATCTTTTTCTTACACGGTCACTTACCCGTGCGATACGTTTCTTTATCTTAAGAACACGTGATTCTTAAGATAACAGGAAAACAAGTTCACTATGACTTGGCACGAAGATAAAATTGGTACGATGTTTTCAGAGTGTGACAGACAATTTATGTGGAGCAAAGCAAAAGGTAGGACACCACCGCGGAGAGACAAGCGTTTATAATTAACCGTTTCAATTAAACTAAAAATTACAAAAGTACATAATTGAAGCTGTTCCAAGTTTCATCTTGGCTTTATTATTAACGATTGCACATCACGTACAACAAGCAAATACGCAACATCTTTTTGTGTCGAATGATTCCGTGGCTTGTAATACAATGATTAGCTGGGAGGAGCTCGCTGGAGGAGAGCGATACGCGCCATTGGTACACTTCAACGATAAGTGAACTGTGTATACTGTATATTAATCGATGTACATCACACGGGTCGCGATATACTGAACCTCTTTCTATTTATACTCGTTGCTGCTATACACGTGCAAGTGTATAGCAGGCGAAAAAACCGCTTATTTATTTCTGTTTAGAAACCCCCCTCATGGGTGGATCTTCCTTATTTATCGAAGTACAAATATATTGAAAACGTCCGTTTTTTATCTTCCCTTTCGCTCTTTATCCTTTGGCCTTTTAAAGCTAAGTGTAACTGACAATCAATATAATAATTGATTTACCTATTTTATATGTTTATATATTTTATACATTGTTGCGCCAAGAAATGTCTCTTCTGAGCTTTGCTGTATGCACACGTGGATCGTGCTTATCGAACAAGCAATTCGCCGTTTCGATCGTACCGTCCAGCGCGTTACTACATACTCGACCAGATATCGTAGCTGTTTATGAATGAAACCAGTCGTAGTAGCAGCCCCCTCTAACTGCTCTTGGCGCCCCTACCACTTATGCTCGTTGCTCGCACCGCTATACGTTGGCATTTATTCCTCGAGCACGTGCTTCGTATAGAATGACAAATATTTTAGTCGACATCCTTCCAATATACCGCACTTTTACCTCATGCACCTCACCAGAAATGAAGAAAAATAAAAGTCGAACATTCAAGTACCCAGATTTAAGAGGATTGCGAAGATTCTGTACACGTCAGGAACACGGTTCAAG